CAAATGCATTAATTCTTTTACAGTCTTCCTTATATTGTGTAGGTTTGAGTATTGTCCTAGGCATTGTAAATGTCAAGTTACAGATACTCTAGATCCTGTGATTCCTCCCCCTCCCCCCCATGAGTATTGAGTGTTGTTTATTTAGTTAGATCAGGCAGTTCTCTTGGTTAGATTCAAAATACAAACTCTTGTTTCTTGAATAGCAGCTTGATTCTTGGGTCAGTCCTTTTTTTCTCTACCTGTGTTGTTTTGAGTACACTTAGATATGTGTGCTGACAGAATTTGGGACATCTTATTAGATTCGTTCCCTTCCTGCCAGTGGACATGGCTTCCCAGATTCTGTCTGCTGACACCTCAGAGTGACTACTTTTTCCCACTGAACCGAGCTAAAAGCTGTGCAGCTATGAGCTCATTCCTTCCTCCAAGTACTGACTCCCATCTACCTGTTGGTGTTCATTCTCCAGGTATCTTTAGGTGCCTGAGTTTTTAGTTACCTGGGGAGCTTTTACTTTATAGGTTTTTTTGGAAGGTGTGTTGGTGTGGCTGGGTCTTAGTCGTTATCAAAGCCAGTCTTTTAGAACTTTGATTAGAGTAGGAAGGGGACAGGCAACAAACAAAACTACAACTACTTAACACAATATATATTTTGTCAGTTATTTATTTCTGTGTAACAAACTGCCTCAAGACTGTGACTTAAATCAACTATTCTTTATTGTTATAACTCATGCAAATGTGTTGGCTGAGAGTTGGTTGACCTAAGCTGAGCTCATCTGAACTTGGCTGAACTTGAGTGCTTACATTTTCACTGGCTCACTCATGTTTCTGCAGGTTGCTGGGGATTTTGCTGTAGAGTGGCGGGGGCAGCTTTGTTGTTAGGACAGCTCTTCTCCATGTGTTTCTCTTCCCCCTGGGGACATGGGCTTGGCCTGGACTTGTTGTCATCTCATGAAGATAACAAGTGCACCAGAGCAAATACCCAGGGGACTTTTCAAGTGTCTGTTTATGACATGTCTGCTGACATTCCATTAATCAAAAAAATCACATGACTGAACTCTCAGAGTTAAGGATGGGGAGACTTGCTTACCATTGAAGAGAGGATCTGTGAAGTCATATGGCCAAGAAGTCAGTGTAGGGAAGGGTGAAGAATTGGTACCGCTACTGCATTCTACTGCATTCCAGCTGGAGTAAGGGCCATCAAAATAGGAAAGCGTGATGATACAGCATGTCCAGGGCATGTATGTGTGTGTGTGTACAAATACATACATACCATTTTAATATGAAACTGCAGTCAGCCTGGATATAGTTGTTGTTGTTGTGATGTGCTGTGGAGTCGGTTCTGACCCATAGCGACCCTGTACAGGGTTTCTGAGGCTGTATAGCTGTACAACGTACTATTTCATTTAATATGAAAACTTCATCGTAGTCAATCTTTCTCAATTTCTTGTATGTTAGGCCATTTTTACTTCCTTTCCTGATTTATTGAATAAGCACTCAACTATAGGCATACCTTGGAGTCTTGGTGTGGTGCTTTGGGTTTATGCTCTGGACTGCAAGGTTGGTTTGAACTCAAGGTCAGTGGTTCAAGCTCACCAGCCACTCCTCAGAAGCCCTATACAGCAGGCATATTTCAGAGACATTTTAGGTTCAGTTCCAGGATATCACAATGAAAGAAGTCCCGTGTGATTTTTGGTTTCCCAGTGCATTTAAACATTATGCTTGCTCTAAACTGTGTGTAGTCTAGTAAGTATACAGTGTCATTGTTGTTCTTAAGTGCTGTCGAGTCAACTCTGACACATAGTGATGTTGTATAGGGTTTCTGAGGAGCGGCTGGTTTGTCTTTGAATGACTGACCTTGCAGTGAGTAATCCAGTGTTTATTGTGCTACAACAGGACTCCAACTATGCAATGCTGTTTTTAGTGCTTCAAGTCAGCTCCGAGCCATAGTGACCCTGTATAGGGTTTCCGAGGAGCAGATGGTGGGTTTGAACTGCCTACCTTGTAGTTTATATCCTTTGCTAATCCTACAACACCACACCAGAAGTCCAAATATGCAATAGCAGCACGAAAACGTTTGAAATATTGTGAGAATTACCACAGTGTGGCACAGAGATAAGATGTGAGCACAGTGCCACTGGAAAAATGCCGACAAACTTGCACAACACAAACTTGCCACAAACCTTCAATTTGTAAAAAATGCAATAAAACAAGGTCCACACTGTTAAGAGCACCTTTGATGTATTAACTAATTTCATCCTTATAGCTACTACCTTATGAAATAAAAACTCTTACTGTTCCCACTTAGCAGATGAGGAAACAGACCCAGAGAAGCTAAGCAAATGGTCCAAACTCATCTACTGTATAAGTGGTGTAGACATGGACCTGGGCAGTCTGTCTCTTCATACGTTCTTGTGTATCAGTCTTGTCCACATCACTATATTTCTTTAGAGAATTAATTTTTCGTTTTTTTTAAAAAAGCCAAAATGTTGCCATCAAATTGATTCTAACCATTGGTGATCCTGTGTGTTATAAAGTAAGGTTTTCTTGGCTGCCATCTATATTGAAACAGGTTGCTAAGCTTGTATTCCACAGTGCTGTTGTGTGGATTCGAACGGCCAGACTTGCGGTGGTTGTTGGTGGTGATGTTAGGTGTCATTGAGTTAGTTCTAACTCATAGTGATTGTGTACAGCAGAACAAAACACTGCCTGGCTCTGCACCATCCTCACAATTGCTGTGCTTGGGCCCATTGCTGCTGTCACTGTATCAGTCCATCTCACTGAGGGTCTGCCTCTTTTTTTGCTGACCCTCCCCTTTACCAAGCATGTTATCTACTTCTCCAGTGATGCATCCCTCCTAATCACATGTCCAAAGTATGAGAGATGCAATCTTCCCATCCTGGCTTCTAAGAGGCTTTCTTCCAGCACAAATTTGTTTAGTTCTTTTGGTAGTCTGTAGTACTTTTGATATTCTTCTCCAGCACAATAAGTCAAATGCATCAATTCGTCTCTGGTCTTCCTTATTCATTGTCTAACATTCATGTGCCTATGAGGCTTTTGAAAATACCATGGCTTGAGTTAGGTGTACCTTAGTCCTCAAATTGGTATCTTTGCTCTTGAACACTTTAAAGAGGTTTGTGCAGCAGATTTGCCTAATGTAATACATTGTTCAATTTCTTGACTGCTGCTTCCCTGAGTAGTGATAGTGGAGCCAAGCAAAATGAAGTCTTTTGACAACTTCAATTTTTTCTCCATTTATCATAATATTATTTATTGAACCAGGTGTGAGGATTTTTGTTTTCTTTCCTTGAGGTGCAAGCCATACTAAAGGCTGTAGTCATTGATCTTCATCAGCAAGTATTGTAAGTCCTCTTGAATCTCAGCAAGCAAGGTTATGTCAGCTGCGTGTCATGGGTTGTTGATGAGTCTTCCTCCAATCCTGATGCCATGTTCTTTATATAAACCAGTTCATGGGATTATTTGTTCAACATAGAGACTTAATAAGTATGATGAAAGGATCCCTTTCCTGATGTTAAACCATTGAGAACCCTTGTTCTCTTTATGAGTTAGAACTGACTTGATGTCACCAAACAACAAGAACAACAAAGTCCCTTGAAATAACTCCCTTCCTCACACACACTTTGTGAGGACTTGGGAGCCTGGCACGGACCAAGGTGGAGTCACACTAAACCATGCCTCTTGGTCTGTGTACAAGTTCATCATGACCATATTGAAGGGTTTTGGAATACCTATTCTTCACAGTTTTATCGGTAGCTTGTCAGTAGGTAATAGGGTGCAAACCGTTCGCACCACTCAGGGACCTAGATAATTTGTTAACAGTGGAATATTGGATCAAAGGGTACTTGTCACGCTTTTAAAGTGCTGGCAGAGCATTTCATAGGTGTCATTGGGTTAGCTGTGTCTCCCAGTCCAAGAGCAAGACAGTAAAGCACCAGGCTTGTTTGTCAGTGAATTGGAATTTGAGTCCTTCCTCGGCAAGCTCTGATATGTGTGACACCCGGAAGCAGTGTGGCGTGAAGTGTGGAGTGCTGAGAAACAGCTGGGGCCAGAGAAGCAGCTCAGCTGTGAGCTCTAGCCAGTGTGGTGGGCTTGTGTTCACAAGTGGCACAGTTTCTGTAGATGGTGACCACTTCTGGGATGGAAAGTAGCTCTGGGCATGATTAGTGTGACTACAGCTTTGCCCATGCCAGGTTTCCAACCCCTCACAGACTGTGAGGAAGGAGTGATTTCAAGGGAATTTGTTGTTGTTGCTAGGTGTCATCAAGTCAGTTCCAACTCACAGTGACCCAGTGCATGGCAGAATGAAACACTGCCCGATTTTGCACCATCTTTACAATTGGTGTTAGCTTGAGCCCGTTGCTGCTGCCATGAGGTAAGTCCATATCGTTAGGGAGGTCTCCTTCTTTTTCACTGACCCTCTACTGTACCGAGCATAATGCCCTTTTCCAGGTGTTGGTCCTTCCTGATAACATGTCTGAAGTATTAGAGACAAAGTCTCGCCATCCAAGCCTCCAAGGAGCATTCTGGCTGTACCTCTCTCATCACAGACCCATTTGTTCTTCTGGCAGTCCATGTAACAAGAGAGCAAAATCATTTAATGAAGGAGTGGTTGGTTATCTGGGAAGAAGTGGGTTTTCAGAGTTTTGTGTTTTTTTTTCTATTTCCATTTTTATCCTTTGGCTGGTCTGGATGCCTCCTACTTTGAAACAGTGGGGGGATGGGAACGGAGAGGGAAATCAATCTGGTTGAGTTTTAATTAGTCTTAAGCTCTGCATGGAAACTGGGATGGAATGGTGAGGCTTACATTGTGAATTTGGGACTTTTCTCTCGATTTGTGTTCTGAGGTAACTCCGGTTACATACAGCCACGTGTGGTTTTTTTGCTGTTGTGGCTTTTGATTGCCTGTAAATGTCTTTGTTTAGAGTTTAATGTGCTATGTGATTTCTGTCTAATGCGTTTTGTCTTTAATTTTTTTTGGGTTCCAGGTGAGTAGCAAAGATGAAGACTTTCTTGACCTTTCTGTGGATGTAGAGCAGAATACGTCCATCACCCACTGTCTAAGGTAACCTCATCACTTCTGAGCCCCAGGAAGGAAAGCCTGTATTCCTTTAGGAGATAATCTTCCTTTTTCTTAAACCAATATAATCCTATTACTTTCCATTCCTTGTTTCCCAATAAAGATTCAAAACGAGTTAATGTGGTCTGGAGAAGAGTTCTGCTGAGGGAGAGAGGAGGCTCATTAGTCACTAGGTTTAAAATAAGTTTATAACCTTTCATTCAAGATATATGCTTTTGACTCTGATTAGACACACACACACATATACATAGACACACAATGAAGTTATTCAGTGCTACAGATATCTGCCATTGATCTTTCTAAGCTAATCCTGTTATCTGAAAAAGTAGGCACTTTGACTTGAGAACCAATCAGGAATTTTCTTTTTCCATCATCTTACAACTTTCTTTGTAGATTATTCATGGAAAGAAGTGTCTTAGTGTTGAGAGAAGGTAGGAGCTTCTCTCAACACAAGGAAGGTGGTAACCATCCTTGCCTAGAATCACTGTGGAAACTGTGTATTGACTTGTGTGCAGGTAATCCCTGGGGCGTAAAACAAGATCCGTTCCTAAATGTGCCTCTTGAATTTGTAGGTGAATTGAAACAGGTTGCATATGGTTCTTACTTAGCCTTACACTGTAAGATAAGCATTGGACTGCAAGGTTAATTAGAACCGCAGAGTCGGTGGTTCAAACTCATCAGCTGCTCTTCAGAAAGTCCTTACTGGGCTGCTGTGGGTCAAAACCGACACAACATCACTTAATGGTGCAAAGGACCCGATCCCAACAACAACAAAGGGCAAGAAAGAGAGACTTCAGCCTGGGAGCTGCCTGTATTTGAAAGTGTTAAATGTTGATGAAGTAAGGTCCCAGATTCAAATCCACCAGTCAGTCTTAGGGAGAGAGATGATGCTGTCTGCTTCTGTAAAGATTTAGTCTTAAAAACCCTAAGGAGCAGGTCTCCTCTGTCCTGTAGGGTCACTGTGAGTGAGAATTAACTTGATCATAGTTTGGATTTTCTTATTTAAGGACCACCTTTTCAGCCCCTCACTTTCTTGTTCCCGCTCTTCCTTCACTAAGAGGTTGTGTTGTTGTGTGGCATTGAGTCAGTTCCGACTCTTAGTGGCCTTATATAAAGTTTCTGAGGCTGTAAATCTTTCTCCTGCAAGAGATCATGCATGGTTATAAGTTTTTCTAGACACCAGGGACAGAGACATGGACATCAGACATTCCCTGATCTATGATGCTTACATTCTAGTGGGAACACCGACGGTGATCAGTGCTTTGAAGTAAATATGACATATCTAGAGATGGCTAGGTCCTTGGGTGGTGTAGTTTGTGCTCAACTACTAACCTACAAATTGGTGGTTCAAACTCACCTGGTAGCTTCACAGAAGAAAAGACAGGGCGATCTAGTTTAGTAAAGATTACAGACAAGAAAACTCTTTGGAGAAGTTGGGGTTGCCATGTGTTGACATTAGCTTCATGGCAGTGGATCTGGTTTTTGTCTTAGAGAATGACTGGTAATTGGGGTGACAGTATAGACCACGTGGTCAGGGGGCCTCCTGTTGCTCAGGGTGTCACAACCTAGAGAGACATTTTATGATGTTGAAACAAGGTCCTGTTGATTTCCATCCAACAGAATCAGGTGACAGCTGCTCTTACAGGAGTGTGAGTTACTTGAGATCTTTAAGGAGGATAGAGTAACGAGACTTCTGTGGTAGTTTGCTGTTGGAAAGTCACCTTTCTCTGCAAAGGTACCAATCTCAGCTTGCAAGAGCTCCAGAGTTCATCTGGGTTGAGTGTATACTGTGTGGAGCTGGAGGCTGATTGCTTTTTCCAGGTCTGAGGGCTGCGCTTCTCCATATGCACTGCTATTGCCCCCAGTGCTCCTTGTCCTCAATTGCCTCTAGGTCCAGGTGTCTAGGACAAGTTTGGTATCTTTTTGTTTGAAATGAGCTTTGAAGGCCAGCATGAGCTCTTTTATTCCCTTCTGAATGGTTCTGTTTATGGCATGGGTTCTTAACATTTCTTCTTAAAAGAAGCAATTTATTATTTCCCCAGGTTTCATGATGGAGTCCTGGTGTGGTGCTGCAGGCTAGCACTTGACTGTTAACCACTAGTTCAAGCAGCTTAAAACCACTAGCTGATCCTTGGAAAACCCTACGCAGAGTCGTATGAGTCAGAACGGACTTGATGACACTTAGCAACATCAAGTTTTATGACCACCCAAAAAACCTATTGCCATTGAGTTGATTCCAACTCATAGCCACCATGTTTGACAGAGTTGAACTGCCCCATAGGGTCTCCAAGATACTAACTATGGGAGCAGATGGCCTCATCTTTGTCCTGTGGAGTGGCTGGTGGGTTTGAACCAATGACCTTTTGATTAGCAACTCAATACTTAATTATGCCACCAGTGACTCCTTTTTATTATTATGAAGTGGAGAAGTTTCAGCCTTAGTCACAGGTGAGCAAATGAGAGGAAGATATTACCTGCCCATTCCCCTTTGTGGTGAGAATTTAAAGTTAGGCAGGCTGATTCCTTCTCCTTTCTAGAAAATTCCTGGGATATTCAAAAGCAGCTTTATCCAAGTAAAAGGCTAGTTAGAAGGTTATTTATAATCTGAACTTCTGTGACGTTTACTATAAGGAAGTGCAACCCAGATTTATGTTTCCATATTTATACACACACACACATATATATGTCTATATATGTACACACACACACACACACACACACATATATACATATAGGTTGTTGTTAAGTGCCGTCGAGTCAATCCCGACCCATAATGACCCTATATAAGGTTTCTGAGGAGCAGCTGGTGAGCTTGAACTGCCAACCTTGCAGTTCAAATGGCTTTGCAGTCTGGCGCATTAACATATATATATATATATACACACACACATACGTACACACACACATATATATATACACATATATACATCTATCTATCTATCTGTCTATCTATCTAATCTATCTATCTGTTTTATTATCTATATGGTGGTGTGCTGTGGAGTCAATTCTGACTTATAGCAAGCCTGCATAGGGATTTATGGGAGCAGAAAGCCTCATCTTTCTCCTGCAGAACAGCTGGTAGTTTCAAACTGTTGACCTTGAGGTTAGCAGCCCGACCCATAAACACTACAGTACCAGAGCTCCTTATATATATGCATAAATATATATTGTTACTAAGTGCTACTGAGTTGGTTTTGACTTACAGCAATGCTGTATAGGGTTTCTGAAATAGTAAATCATTGTGGGAGCAAAAATCGTCATCTTTCTCCCATGGAGGGACTGATAGGCTTGAACTGCCAGCCTTGTAGTTCACAGTCCAGTGCTTATCCTGCAGAGCCACCACGCTTCCATATGAAAAAAAAAACAATCATACGTGTTGGTCGTGTGTACCTGATGAAGGCAGCTCTGAAGTATTTGGAAATGTTAAAGCTGCGATGATTGAGTGGCTTAGCTAATTAGTGCTGCTATATTAGAATTTCCATAAGTGGGCAGAAAAATGGATTTAAAATGGATTTGATCGCAGTTTACGAGGCTAGCTATAGAGAAAGCTCGTTGTCTCTGTTGGTTCTTTGGGAGGACCGCTGTCTCTTTCAGCCTCTGTTCTTTGGATTTCTTCATATGGCTTCTGTCTTCTCCTGTTTGTCCTTGCTTGTCTTCATCTCATCTGTTTTATGTTTTATATCTCAATAGTGTTTTATGTTTTATATCTCAATAGTGATTAGATATTCGTGTCATCTGTTTTATGTTTTATATCTCAATGGTGATTAGGCTTGACACACCCTCACAGATACGGCCTCAGTAGCACAATAAAGGAAACCTTATTTTCAAGTGGGCTTACTTCCACAGGCAGAGGGGTCAAGTTTCTACCACATTGTTTGGAAGAAACAGTTCGGGCCCTAACAGTGGGTATGAAATTGCCCCTGTCTGCCGTTGAAACTACGTTGGACTCTCATCTGCTTGGGCCCTCCTGCGGGTATTCCTGCCATGTTTGCTGCTTCCTCCCTAAACTAGACCTTGACTGACTCACCTGTACCTGTACTTGCCTGTGTATCATCAGTAAGGAGAAGACTGCCAGGCGTTGCCGCTCACTGTTGAGAGGTTCTGTGATGGGAGTGGCAGTGTGTAGTGAGAAAGGCTCCAGGAATACATGATGCCCAAGGCTTTAGTAGCTTCTTCTGTCTCTAAGACAGAAAGGAAGGAATAGTTACATGTTCCCTCTTGACCTCTTTCACAGCATTCTTGAGAGTTTGTTTCTCAAATTCAAATGATGTATTTTCTCCTTTGTCATGTCTGCGTATCATTTCGGATGTGATAGCTCGCTTTGCTATATTTTGGTGACTTTAAAAAATATTGTGGAGATTTGAATTTCAGATTCCCTGTTACCTTCCAAGGAGCCCTAGTGATGCAGTGTTTAAGTGCTTGACTGCTAACCAACAGGTCATAGTGGTTCCAATCGGTGATTTGTAACCAAAGCCCAGCAGCCCTTCTGTGGGAGAAAGATGAGGCAGCCTGCTTCCATGAAGATCACAGCCATGGAAACCCTTCAGGGTGGTTCTGCTTAGTCCTGTATGGTCTCTAGGAGTTGGAACTGACGGATGGCAGTGGATTTGACAGTGGATGTGGCACTGGTTTTGGCTGGTGCAAAAGTGGCTTGGAGGCAGTGCTTGGCCTTCTCCAACTTCACAAGCTGGGCGGAAAAAGAATCAAATTCCACATCTGCCCGAGGCTAATCATTCCTAGGAGGTGGAGGTCAGACATGAGTCCTCCCTCTAATGGTCTGTATTCTGACACCAGCCGACCCTGTCACAGCACTCTATTCCTCAGCTGGCTGTGAGAATCTGTTGCAATGACCACACAGAACCCACAGACAATATGATTATGGGCTTGTTGAAAAAATGAGCAAGATCAGAATCTCTATCCTCGGGATAGAGCAGTTCTCCAGACGGGAGTGCTTCTCAGCTGGACTGCAGGCACGCCTCTCTCATCCTTGTTCTCTCAGCCACACCGCGTTGTGGCTGCTGCCCTGTTCCAACAAATGCTATAGAGTGCCATTGGGAAACCCAAAGGGCACCCAGTCTGCAAACCAGCCTCCTGCCCAAAGGCACTCAGCTTTGCTTGCTCTGTGGCCCAGAACACTGAATGAATTAAAATCAGGAAAAATGTGCACCAGGGTTGTTTGTTTTCACCGTATTTACTCAGTTTGTGTGGGGTCCTGGTATGGCCCTGTGGGTTAATAGGCTGGACTGCAAGGTGATTTTAACTGCAAGGTCAGCAGTTCAAGTTCACTAGATGCTCCTTGGAAAACCCTATACAGGGTCACTATGAATCAGAACCAACTTGAAGACACTTAACAATTCAGTCTGTATGCTGAACAATTAATATGGGAAGCTGGATTATATGGAGAAGAACATGGCATCAGGATGGGAGGAAGACTCATTAACAGTCTGCAATATGCAGATGATACAACCTTGCTTGCTGGAAGCTATGAGGACTTCAGTACACTTGCTGATGAAGATCAAAGACCACAGCCTTCAGTATTTATTGCACGTCAAAGAAAGCAGAAATTCTTACAACTGGATCAATGAGTACAATCATGAAAAGTGGAGCTAAGATTCAAGTTGTCAAAGACTTCATTTTGCTTGGATTCACAATTAACACCCAAGAAATCAAATGATACATTGCATTAGATAAATCTGCTGCACAAGACCTCTTGTGTACCTGTTTAGAAGCTTCTGACCTTAGGTATAATATTTTCAGTAGCCTTATATGCATGTAAAAGTTGGGCAGTGAATAAGGATGACCATAGAAAAATCATTGCATTTGAATCATGGTGTGGAGAAGAATATTTAAAGTACCATGGACTCCCAGAAGTAGAAACAAGTTGGAAGAAGTGCAGCCCGAATGCTCCTTAGAAGTGAGGAAGGTGAGATTTTGTCTCTCATACTTCAGATATGTTATCAGAAGGGACTAAAAACTAAGTCCCTTAAGAAGGACATTGTACTTGGTAAAGTGGAGGGTCAGAAAGAAAAGTCCTCAAAGGAGCTGGACTGACACAGTGGCAGCAGCAGTGAGCTCAAACGTAGGAACAGTTGTGAGGATGGCGCAGGACTTGGTAATATGAAATGATGCGTAGGCTGGTTCTGTTGTGAAAGTGCTACTATGAGCCAGAACTGACTTGTTGGTACCTCTCAACAGTGAAGTTTGAGAAGGAGGCCTTCTTTAAGTAAAATGTTGGGCTACTAACCACAGATTGGTGGTTCAAAATCATAGCTGTTCCACGGAAGAAAAAGGAGACGGCCTGAAATATAAAAGAGCTTCACTGGTGCTCTTCTGGATGTTGCTGTCAGATGTCCACGTGGCACATCTGTCAACGTGTCTTTTCCCCCATTTGTGATTTTCTTTTTTTGCTTATTCTGCTCTTTTATATTTCAACAGTGATTGATTTAAATCACACCCTATACTTACTTGGCTCACTAACATCATAAAGAAAACCCCACTCTTAAATGGAATTTATATCTACCAGTATAGGGATATGCATTCACAACACACTACAACACATATTTTAGGGAGACGCAGTTAAGTGCGTTGTCGTCTGATTGTATCTTTTCTTCTAGTGGGCTCCATAGTCAACAGGTCCATGTTTCTTAACATAGTACATGAGACTATGGCTTGGCCTGCCTGTGCTCTCTCCCCACACCCAGATGTTGGTCCATACCTGGCCCCTCCCTGCCTGCCTTTTCCCACTGTTCTGTTATGTGGTATTAGTCTTCACTCTGTCCAGCTGGCCCTTACTTTGCCTCTGAGAACCTGCTTTGGGATTTGTTCCCTGGAGAAATATCCTGAATTACCCCTGTTCAGATTCATTTCTCCTCATTCTGTGTTATGTTCCCTCTGGTCCTTTTCACATTATTTCATCAGCAGACCCTCCTGAGCACCTTTGTGTCAGGCCTGAAGGTACAGTGGCTAAACACACAGCTGCTAACCGCAAGTCAGCAGTTTGAACCCATCAGCTGTGCCAAATGATGTGGCAATCTGATTCAGTGGCTCTTGCGGCCTTGGAAACCCGATGGTGTAGTTCTCCTCCATCCTGGAATAAACTCGATGGCAGTGGGGTTTGGTTTGTGTCAGGCCTATTCTTGGTGCTGAGAATATAGTAGTGACGAGACAAGTGGGACCACTGGCCACAAAGAGAAGCTGCAACTCAGTAGATGGGTAAGGGGATGGTTTCAGTGGTGGGATGCACTCGAAAGGAAATCACACAGTGACATGACAGTGGCTGCAATGGAATGGCTTTGAATGGCTAGCCAGGGAAGCCCTAGTCTGACCAGGTAACATTTGGGCTGAGTTCAGAAAGTGGGGAGCCAGCCACGGAGACATACATTTGTCAATGGAGCTGTCATTGTGGAAAACAGCCCCTGGAAATGCCCAAGGCAGGGAGGTGTTTGGTCTTCTGAAGGGACTGGAGGAGACCTGTGTGGCTGGAGCCGAGTGCGGGAGGTGAGTAGGCAGGGGTCTGATAACCGACAGTAAGGAGTTCCATTTTTTTCCCCTTCAGATTTGTTATTCCTGTGTAGTCAGGAACTATGGGAGAGTTTAGACAGGGAAGTCATATGGAATGATTTGTATTTAAGCTGCTCTGAACACTTCATATCATAAATGGTTCATTGGTGCATGTCTCTGTTGTTAAGTGCCGTGGAGTCAGTTCCAACTCATAGTGATGCTACATAGGGTTTCCGAGGAGCAGCTGGTAGGTTTGAACTGCTGACCTTGTGGTTCACAGTCCAATGCTGATCCTATAGTGCCACTGAGCAAATCTAGGGACCTAGCCCAGAGCGCTGCCTGTAAATGTTTGGGGAATCAATGAATGAACTCTAATGATCTATATTTTCTTTTGATGCACTTTATTTAAGTGGGTAAGTCATGAACACCATTTAAACAACATTTTCTATTTAATAAAATCTGATCATCCTGGTGCCAGAGCACTTCTTATGAACAAGAAAATGTCACAGAGTTTTTCCAGGCTCTGGGGTATATTATATTCTGGATGTTCTTTGCGACCTTTGAAGCAGTACCACAGGAATGTTAACTAGAATCTTGATGACCAGAAAAGAATGAAAAGCCGTGACATTTACAAAGTGGAAAACGATAAGAAGTACAGTAAAACCTCCTGGTATGGTGGATTCAGGTAGAACAGACACAGTGGTGTTTGCTCTCATGTTTTCACCTCTGGGGATAGGGAGCCAGGGAGGGAGGGACGGTCACCTCCTGATAATCCGGGACTTTCTGAGACAGTGTAAGGTCTTTACTTTCATGCTCTTTGACAATACAGACCCCTGAGAAATGTATTTATTTTTTTCTTTAACTTCCCAGTAATGTCACCTTGACTATTCCAGAGTTCACTTAGATTGTGATGCTGGGTTTTCACTGTATTTTTCCATGAAACGTTTTCATTTTAAATTTAGAAATGTACTGTTAAGCCCTGAGTTTCACTGAATCTGTGTGAAACTCTAGTTTATATCCATCTGTGCCTCGTGAAGTTAAGCTGTGCTTGAGAATCTCTGTTGATGGAACGGTAACAACCTAACAGTAACTATGCTGCTGCTTTTCTGATCAGTCCCTTCAAAGTTACTTTGTAGGTAATTCCACTTGCCCTTGATTGAGTTGATTTCCCCAAGTGTTTCCGAGTAGGACTGGGCTCCACTGAGCCTTCAGTGACACTCACATTTTAAAGGTAGACCGCCAGACTTTTCTTCCAAGGTTCACTGAGCGGATTCACACTGCCAACTTTTTTTGTTAGTACCCAGTGACTCTTCGCCACCCGGGTGGTGGTTGTAAAGTGCTGTCGAGTCGGTTCTGACCCATAACGACCCTGTATAGAGTTTCCGAGGAATAGCCGCTGAGCTTGAACCACTGACCTTGCAGTTCAAACGGCTTTGCAGTCTGGCCACCCAGGTAGAGGGTTGTAAAATGTGGTATACCAAGTACATGTTAGACTCTTAAACATCAGAGTATTTTTTATCTCTCTGCAGAGACTTCAGCAACACAGAAACACTGTGTAGTGAACAGAAATATTATTGTGAGACGTGCTGCAGCAAACAGGAGGCCCAGAAAAGGTGCGTAAAGGATTAGCGCAGGGCATGGCTCGGTGTGCTGATAGGGACCGTGTTGTGGAGCCATTAAGGCCTGGTTCTGAATCTCGGCTTCCTGCAGTCCTGGTTATAGAGCTTTGGGGAAGTCGCTTACCCTCTCCACCCGTAAAACTTTGCAAACTTGCCTGTTTGCGTGATTGTTCATACATCTGTTCATTCTGCGAGTGTTTATCCAGTCTTTCTAGGGTATTGTAGACTCTGCTCTCTGGGGATCAGAGAGAAATTATATGAAGTCTAGCATCGCCTGCGACACAGACTAGCAAATGATGTCGTTGTCTTCAGTATTTCCTACAACACTGGGCTTCTTTAGAGATCAAAGAGGTTAAGACAGTTAATCATTTATTAAGGAATCATGAGGGAATCAATGGCACATCAGTTATATAGAGAGGTGAGAAAGCTATAGCATTCTGGGTTGATGTAGGACCCAAGGTTCCCTGTCAGTTTACCAGCTCTTGGACAATATGAGCTATAACCCGCGATCCCATTGTATTTGGCCCCAGAAGCCAAGAAACTTGGCATCTTAATTAGCCCGCGAAGCCCGAGTGTGAGTTAAATTTACCCTGCCAGCGGTTCTGGAATATGATGTTCATTACTGCATCTAAAATCCTCATGGGTCTAGAGACTTAATGCTGCAATCATTTCTGGGCCCAGCCTCCCAGGCCTCCCCACATCTTGCCTCACTGCATTAAAATTTAGGGAAGGTTAGCCACTGAGTTGGCTCAGGGTGTAGGGGGTGTGTGGGTGTGTGTCAGTGGGCTCCCATCCTTAACCTCTAAGTCTGCCTAAGGCCAGTTGCAAGTCTTCTTATGTGACATTAAGGCATTTTCTGCTTAGTCCTGGAAGCTTAATGTATTAAAAGGTCAGATGTTCTGTAAAACATGGCTTTCTTCATTAATTTTATCTTTTTATTGCTGCTTTAATTTTTCTTACCTTTATGAACAAGGGTTTTACACTAACAGAGTCCTTAGTCAGTATTCTCTTGAAATCCTTATCAAAAGGGAGGAAATACATGGAATAGAAATTTGAATTCTCACAGGATACCAAATTTCTGGAGCCATGAAGGCTAAATGAACTCCTAAAACTATTGTCCCGAGATAATGTTTAAACCTTAAGCCAAAAATATCCCCAGAGGTGTTCTTAAAACCAAAGAGTCATTTAGCTTAATTAGTAAGGAATGTCTGTCCTGAACATTGTGTTCTTTTAAGAACTAGCTATTGACAACAACAATTTGAAAGGTCAGCTAGAAGTGTAGGCGCAGCGCGTTGATCTTAATGTGGGGGAGAAACTGTTTGGAAAAGCAGGGTGAGAATGATTGCATGCTTTGAAGACTGCAATGAATGTCACTGAATTATACATGTAGAAATCGTTGAATTGATGTTTGTTAGACTGTGTATATTTTCAACAACAGCAGCAAATAAAAATTATTCGAAAAAATAAAAAGTATTGTCTTAAAGCTTGTTATTTTCAAACCATGTACATTGAAAATGTAGACAAGCTGAACAGCGTTATACCCAGATAGTAAATTCATAGAACCCTGGTGGTGATGTGGATGAGGCATTGAACTGCTAATGTTAAGGTCAACAGTTCAAACCCACCAGCCACTCTTTCGGAGAAAGATGAGGCTGTCTGCTCTTGTGAAATTGTACAGTGTTGGAGAATACTCAATATTGGATTCAGTGTGTTGCTTTTAGTAAAATCATAGGATGCTGAACCTGGAAGTTGACAAAATTGGAGGCTTCTGTATTCTGGCAAAGTCAATGGTATCAAGGTGACCTTTCACTGGGGCAGTATTAACAAACATCTGGAGGGATAAAAGCTTTCTGTGCTTCTATGAGGAGGCTTCAATAAATTTGTAGAAGAATGGAATGGAAAGATACTGGAATTTTTCCATGAACTTTTTGAAGTTTGGGAACTACTACATCAAATAAAAACAAAAGGTTTTTTTTTTTTTTAAATATGTATACTGTGGGGTTTCTCTAAACCTTCAATATGCTCCTTGTATGCTCATTTGAGGTAGCATGGACCAACTTTTGTTGGCCACAGAGCCCCACATCTATTCCTATCCTCCATGTTCTGAAGAGTCTAGTTTGCTAACGTTAGCATTTTCTGAATGAGGAAACGGAGAGCCCAGAGAACGGCAATGCCTTGTCCAGCGTCCCACAGAGCAACTGGTTTTTTCCCTGACGACCTAAAGTACGCAGTCTGGGAATATTTCTTCTCCAGTTCTGAGTACCTCTGAGTACAGTCTGTGTCTTCTTCCCAATAGACGTCAGCACTCGTAGTCATTACCTCGGGGCAGATTATCCAAGTGTTTCCCTCCCAGAAGCAGAGAACTGGGGCCAAACACTTGAACTGGAGCACACATTCTGGAAGGCCTCATTCCTCCAGCTGAGGCACAGAGTTAATGCTTTTCTGTCTTGCTGCCTGAGCTCCAGCTAGCCACGGCTGTCAGTTGAGTCAGCCCTTGATACCAGAACACACTTGTATTTTAGATGAACTGTTTGGTTCTGCACTGGTTTTGAAGTCTGTTGCATCTCTTCTGCTCTCCAGCTGAAGAGGATATAGCTGATGTTCTATTCCATCTTTCTTAGGATGAGAGTAAAAAAGCTCCCCATGATCCTGGCCCTCCACCTGAAACGGTTCAAGTACATGGAGCAGCTCCACAGGTACACCAAGCTGTCTTACCGGGTGGTCTTCCCTCTGGAGCTCCGGCTCTTCAACACTTCCAGCGACGCCGTAAACCTGGACCGCATGTATGACCTGGTTGCCGTTGTCGTTCACTGTGGCAGGTAAAAGCCGACGGGAAGCGGGGGCTGCACTGCGTGCTCAATATCCATGGAGGAGTTGTCCTTTTGTTCAGATAGACTGAGCTGGACTCTTACTGATGCCCCCGAGTGCTACAGTCATACACTCAGCTACCAGCGGGAAAGTTGGCGGCTTTAACCTACCCAGAGGTACCTCAGAAACCAGGCCTGGTGATCTGCTTTGGAAAGGTCACAGCCTTGAAAACCATATGAAACAGTTCTCCTCTGCACACATGGGGTCGCTGTGAGTCAGAATCAACTCAACGGCCACTAACAACCACAAGGATAGGATCTTCACTGGGTTGTCAGAAGCAGTATCAATATTATACTAAATCTTTTCCAACTCTTGTTTATAATCTCAAAATAAACATCAGTATGCCTGTGTGCACACATAAAATATAGTAAGGCAAGACAGAGTTTATATGATAATAATCTAAATGTTGTATTATGTTAAGTGCCTTAGAGTCGGCTCTGACTCCTAGTGGCTCTGTATAGGGTTTCCAAGGAGCAGCTGGTGAACTTGAACCACCAACCAAGCATTTCAAATTGACCTTGCAGTCTAGCGCATTAATCCACAGCACCACACCAGGACTCAGAAGTCTCACAACAAGGTGCATGGGCCGGGAAATGAACCCAGGCTTCCTGTGTGGCAAGCAAGAAATCTTCACTACCCATGCACAAATGTTATATGATAAGATAAATAATTAGTAACTGTCCATGAAATGATGCTTATGAAGCGTTTTAAATAACAGAGAAAAATGTATATGCTTTGATTTTTAAAAAAATTTTAAAAGCTAAATTATCAAGTGCTGTTGAGTCGGTTCTGACGCATAGCGACCCTGTGTAAAGTTTCCGAGGAATAACTGGTGGGTTTGAACTGCTGATCTTGTGGTTAACAGCCCAGTGCTTGTCCTTTTGTGCCACACCAGGACTCTCCAGATTATATATATATTGTTGTTGTAAAGTTGATTCTGACTCATAGTGACACAGTTTAGGGTTTCTAAGGAGCGGCTGATGAGTTTGAACCGCCTACAAACCTTGCAGTTCAGACCAACCTCATAGTTGAGTGTTTATTCTGCACCACACCAGGACTCTAGATTATATATGTTGTTGTTAAGTGCTGTTGAGTTGATTCCCACCCATAGCGACTCTGCATAGGGTTCACGAGGAGCAGCTGGTGAGCTTGAACCGGCAACCTTGCAGTGTAAATGGCTTTGCAGTCTGGTGCATTAACCCACAGCGCCACACCAGGACTCCAGATTATATCTATATATCTATATATTTTCAATTGTAAAATGTGTGATTAAAGATTGGGAAGAGTAGGTCATACTGAGAATTTTGAATTTGAATGATTAAACTTTTCTGGAAGTCCTTTGAGCTAATACTTCTTCGGCAGTAATTTGGTATGAACATAGAAATGTGTATCTAATGTTCATTGGTTTGTTATCCTTTGCTCCTTTGGGATAAATTATCTCCCAGGGATAGGCACACCCTTCCTTTTTGCCCTCCTAGGAGTCCTGGTGTGATACTATAGGATAAGCACTGGACACCAGGTAAGTTTGAATCATAAGGTATACCGTTCAAACCCTATACAGGGTCACTATGAGTTGGACCCAACTCAAAGGCACTTATCCAGCACCTCAACAACAAGGTTTTTGGCTGAGGCGTGTTATAGAGCAAGTGTCTTTTCCTCACCATCTGCCTGGATTGTCATGAATGTGCCCTTACCAAGAGGTGGCCTCCAAGCAGCCTCCCTGAGGATGCGTGACTCTGTGCAGAGGAAGGGATTGATTTCTCTTTAGCTGGTTTTATTTTTCTGATGGTATCAAAAGCTATAACCTCATACCTGAAGCACCTTGTATATTATATTGAAGTCACTAGGTATTTTCCATGTTCTCAGGTATGTATTGGCCAGTTATAAGCTGGCTCTGTTTCCCCTGAAAATTAGTTTTAACAGTCATTCTTTCTGAGAACACAGTGGCCTAGTGGCCTGAAAGCTAGCTGTGAACCTGGGTAGAACCCAGGGGCTGGGAGGAAGTGTTGGGAAGGCAGGGCCTGCTCCATGGAGGGCAGGTAGGCAGTTGTGGTGGTGTTGGTGGTGGTATGCACAGAGAGACAGACAGATATACCCAGGCCATGGGCTTTCAGTCAGAATCTCGGAGGGTGCCTGAGAACTCTGTTTGCTGGAAGGACTGGTGAGGGTAGCCAGAGGTTCAGTTAAGGGGAGTCAGGGATCGTTGGAGTTCTGGGATACTTCTGGAATGGGGGCCTGTGGTCAGAACAGCATGGCACCATGGGTATTGTTGTTAAATGCCATTGAGTTGATTCTGACTCATATAAAGAATGGAAGGTTAATTTGGTACCCTTTTTTTTTGTTCTTTTCCAGTGGTCCCAATCGTGGGCATTATATTACTATTGTGAAAAGTCATGGCTTCTGGCTTTTGTTTGATGATGACATTGTAGAGGTGGGTATACCCATGGCACCCCAGGGGGAAAGGAGGGAAGGAACGTGATCGTGGGCTCACCAATCGGCCACCATCAAATCATATTCAGTTCTAAGTCCTATTCCATGCCATGGCTAAAGCTCGCTGTGTGAGACCAAACAGAAGACTTCAAAGTTCTATTAAAATTCTTTCATCATACTAGATTCTTTATTTGTATTGATTACTGTGAAAACTGGGACATGGAAATCTTGATATTACATGGAAATATTCTGTGTATTGATTCTGTTGCAAAGGAATGCTAGCTGGAAGGAATTTCACACTCAAAGACGTGGTCTCTTTTAGTTCTAACGTAACAACTCTCAAGGAATGAACTCCGGAGGCCTGCGGGAATGAAAATTATTCCCAGGAGCCCCAGCTTAGCACTTGAAAGACAGAAGTCCTGGTTGCCTCAGTGAATACTCACCTAGGGCTGCTGAAAGGTGAATGAATGACCGTCTCCTCCAGCTCCCTGCAGTGTATGTAGTGGTGCCCCTCTACCAAGCCCACTGAATTAATCCATTCACTATGAGAAGTTCCCAATGGTGGCATTTCCTGGATTTTGCTATATAGTTCATCAGTTTTCCTTTCTGCCTTCTCCGTAATTTTGTTAACCAATTGTGTTGTCTGATTTCTCTCTCATTACAGAAAATTGATGCTCAAGCTATTGAAGAATTCTATGGCCTGACATCAGATATATCTAAAAATTCAGAATCTGGATATATTTTATTCTATCAGTCAAGAGAATAATTTAAAGAACTGTGGAACTCACTCAAGTGGGGAGAATGTTCAAAGCACTATTCCCTGGTTTCTCTGCAGACTTTTCTTCTTCCCCAGTGGCCCACCAGTGGTATCACTCCGAGTCTCAGTATGCTGGCTGTGTTAGACTCTTCCCCCACCTCCCCTTATTTTTTACATGCAGCACTACTTTTGGTTTTATTTTAGTTGGTGTAGAGTTAACTGCAATCAGAGTATAGTAAGATTGATACAAATAACAGTTGCTAAATGAAGAACTTGGGTATACACCACACCACTTGTCATGTCTGGCTCAATTAGGATGGCATTTCTTATGAATGTCTGTAATCTACTTGGGGTCCGTGATAACTTATAAATAGCTTCCAGGGTCTTCTTGCAGTACATCCATTTTAATTCATCCCTGGAAACACTGTTCCCTGGTTTTAGCTTCTGTTGCCTCTCTTCTGACCGGAGGACAGAAGAATTGGGTAGAGGTTCACCTTTCAGGGCTGACAACTATAGCTTTAAGTTTGTGCGAGTGAAAATGTTGAAGAGTGAATCACTTCCAGACTAGAATCCTTCTCCATGTGGAATGGGGCGAAGAGAGGCTGTACATGGTGGTAGCATTAACACCAGTAGGATCCCAGGGGCTAAGGTGTGGAGCTCAGGGTAGGCAAAGTCAAGAGGAGGACGCTTTTGTGAACAGTGAAAAGCTAAACCTTTCTCGTCTTTCTACCAAAAGGAAATTTCAGGCAAATAACTATATGCTGTTTGTTTTTAGTGGTACCCTTTAAAAACAACAACAACAACAAAACAAAACAACCCTTTTCTTCTGTGAGATCCTGTGAGTGATGTTTCTCCTTTCTCTGGTACTGCTAAACGTCTCAAGGTATCTTTCCTATCCTGCTGATGTTCTCCCAAAGTCTGTGGTTGCAGGACTGAGACACCACACTGGCTGCATCAGGAGCAGCGAAGGCACTGCACAGCTATTAACCGCGCTCACGTTTTTCAGTCTGTTCACTGAGGCACTGGCGAGGCCCAGGGCTAATGCAGGACCTCCCCAGAGGGAAGTGGCCTGGGTCTGAAGGGGGCTCCAAGGAAGTGTCTGTGGGCAGGTGGTGAAATGGACACAATGCTGGCCGTTTCTTTGGCTCAGACTCCTAGAATGCATGGCGAGATGGAGTTTTCTTGGAAGAACCTCATCTCACTCTAGTTACTTTTACTTACTTTTAATTTTGTTCTATCTGTATTTATTAGAGCATTTGAATATTCATACCTTTTATTAAAAGGGTTGATTGGGCGTTTGGCCGTTGGGCTGGTTTTTGGCTTCCAACAAATAGGATGAGTTGTAGATCTTGGCTTCTCTTTGGGGGAAGTCAGTTAACTTCCATACCTTATGATATACTGTGAACGTATTATTTTGTTACCTAATAAATCAGTGAATGAACATGCAAACTTTTGGCATAATGTGAACTAAAATTGAAGTTGAACAATGTTGGTGGTCATTTTGCAACAATTATGAGGATAGCACTTTATTTTGATGAAAACTGGATTTCTTAATCTTTGAAATGTCTCCAACCTTTCATTGGCTCAGAATTTAAGTAAGCATGCCAATACTTCATTTGCTCATGCTTGAGGTGAACTGTTTTACTTTTCAAGACTGAAACAGGGTGATCTTTACATTGTTGTTTTAGATAAGAAATGAAAATATACCTTGCCTTGTTTTGAGGCAAATTCATATTTATAAATGTTTTGTCTTTTTAAAAAGTTTTCTTCCACAAAGCATATGCAGTAATCACTCGGGCAAAAGGTGAGTCTTTGTTTTGCCTCTAAGGAGAGGCACTTTCCAATTGGAGGCGGTTGATACAGGGAAATGTTGTACTGTGGAAAACCAATATATTTGACTTCAGATTACAAAGTTTTAAAAAAAAAAATCTGCAAGGGTCGCACTCTCATTAATATTTGGAAGTAGTTCACAAGAAAACCATTATAAACATGTTTGGAATGATTCTTGGAGCTCATTTCTTAGCAAAAATGATTCAATTAGAAACCTATGCTAGTAATGTTGAAAGTACAAAGTCGTACTTTCCACCACATCATAATAAAAAACAAAAAATTACTAAGTCATATGTTCAGTACATTTCTTTTTTGTTTGGAGGTATAATTACTGGAGTCATTCCTTTTAATACAAAGAGGTCATTACAATTCAAAATTCATGGAGAGATGTTTGGACTTAAAGAGAAGTCTAGAAGATGTAAAGACATTAAAATGGTGTGTGATGTAGGAAAAGATCAGAGGAAGATCAAAATGCACTCATCTACCAACACTCCATGTTTCTATCGAAAACTACAGTGCTATCTAGTAATGTCTTTCCTCTTCCTCTTTAATAAATGAACCAAACACTAGGCAGCTACTTTCCGCCCTCTCCTTATCCCCCAGTCACTTTATTTTATGAAAGACAATAGCTTGCTAACACGTCTACATTTTTAATCCCTTATTTGTAGTGCAAAGCAGAGAAAGACTCAGCAGTGTTCACTGAGAGGGACAGGCTTTTTGTGTACTATTGCTGGGGCAGGAGTGAGGGGAGGCCTGCTGTATGCTTTTTTTGGTTTTGTTTTGTTTTGAATTGCTGGGTGTTTGAACATTATAGTGTTTTACATTTTAAAAAGATAGAGTTGCTTTCTTGAGTTGCTTACTGGTTGAGCATCTAGGCTATGGTACAGTATGTTTAAAAAGTTCCTAGTTTAAAACCACATTTTGGTAAAATGCTGACATCCAGTCCTGTTATGTTATGAATACATTTTCCTTTCCGAGGCAATAGGAAGTAGACTGGTGTGAAGAGAACCAAAGCCAAGGAGCAATGTGAGCAGGATGTTGGTTTGAACAGGAGGCCAGTCTTACTGAGTTTTATGGTCGAGTATATTTTGAATTTAAAATGAAATGGGGAAAAAAATGAGAAATGATCCCATCCATTGGTTTTCATGGATACCCTCAATTTCATGGGTATGCCTAACAATGGACCATGTTCTAACTGGAACTTACTTAGGGTTTATTTTAGATATTGGAGTGTCGCTTTATTACAGATGGATTGTATCTTTGAACATTTTGATCAACTTTGTACATTCATGTTGTATTAAAATATTGTGCTCTAAATGTTTTGCCGTTTTGCTGTTCTATGGTCAAGGCATTTATTGGCACTATTGTGGTTATCTCACGTATGTGGCATGGGTCAGGGAAAATGATTTCCTGTTTTTGCCGAATTAATTTTCTGTTTTCCAGTATAACATTAATTTATTTTGGGCTCCCATTTCTGTATCACCAAAATAGTTACTGTATTTGTGTGGCATTCATTTGATACTGTTGCTAAGAAGGGTTCTCGTTTTTATTTAAAATCTGTACCTTGATTTTTTTCCCCCTTATGTAACCTATTCAAGCACTTTAAGCAATAATGTCAATCGTGTGAAATTTCAATCAGTTTAACACCCTGCCTCTAAAAAAATGTTTGCAAAAACAAAATAAATAAATAAAATAGGAAATTCTCTTCCTAGAGAATTATATCCTGGTAATATTACAGTCCTGGTGTGGCGCTGTGGATTAATGCGCCAGACTGCAAAGCCGTTGGAACTGCAAGGTTGGCATTTCAAGCTAACCAGTCGCTCCTCAGAAACCCTATACAGGGTCGCTATGGGTTGGAACCGACTCGACGGCACTTAACAATGACAACAGTAACGTTACACACATGGACTTGAAATTATTTTTAATAAAGTGCAAGTCAGTGGCAAGTCTCATGTTCAGGTAATCATTCCAGACCTAATCTTGAAGCTGTGGGAACATGAAGAACAGTCTGCCTGTTACAAAATACAAAGCCAGTATGATTGTGGAGGATGCTAATGTTCATGTTGTTCTAGCGATAACTCACAATTTTTTTTTAATTGAATACGATCTGAATTAATCTAGAAATTGCTATGTGGGGAAGTTGTTGATGTTAAGTGCCGTGGAGTTGGTTCCGACTCATAGCGACCCTGTACAGGGTTTCCAAGGCTGTAAATCTTTATGGGACCAGAATGCCTCATCTTGCTCCCGCGGAACAGCTGGTAGTTTCAAACTGGTGACCTTGCGGTTCACAGCCCAATTCGTAACCACTACACTACCAGAGCTCCTTAGAACATCAGTAGAGGGGAAAAAAAAGAAAAAGAATGTAGGGGGTAGGCAATTAATAACTCAGAGTACCTGAGGAGGGTACCAAAGATGAACCACCTGGGCTGCTAACTTGAAGATTGGAAGTTGGAGGCTTACCTAGAGGTGCCTTGGACGAAGAGCCTGGCAGTGTGCTGTTAAATTGGCCATTGAAAGCCCTACGGGTCACCATGAGGCAGAATTGACTCTAAAGCAAGTGGTTCGTTATTAGGCATCAAAATGAATCACTTGGCTGGCACGTGGCGTGCCAGAATCTCTTTACCAGTTATAAAAGGCCCATCCGTTCTCAAGATAAGGAAGTGATCCCCACCACCCTACCACCCTGGGTCATTTACTTCATGTGGTCAGTGTGTGGACAGGAGATTGTTGTATAATGAACTCATTTGCCTGGATTCATAGGACTATAGCCCTATAGATCCGGAGCAGAGGGATGTACCCTGAGTGGTGAACCTTAGGTCCCTTTCATCTTTTCACGATAAGTAAGTTGAATCTGTCTGAGTTGGAACCCGAGTCCTGTTGGGGAAAGTCGCCTCCCTCTGCTAGGAGGGCAGTAGGAAGATAGCAGGGATTTTTTTTTTTTTTTTTTTTTGCTAAGCCTCATTTTCTGCATGTGCAAATGGGGTTTATAGGATCGGTCTTTGACCCATGTGGTACACGATCTGGGAAGTGAGAAGTGTTCCTCATTCCCCAAACCTATCTCCTGCGTTCATTGATAAAGGTAACAGAATTAAACCTTAACTGATATTGCCTTATACTCACATGAAGATGTTAAGTGTCCCCAAATCAATTCCTACTCATAGCGACCCTGTATAGGGTTTCTAGGAGCAGCTGGTGGGTTTGGACCTCTGACCTTGTGGTTAGCAGTCCAGGGCTGATCCTACAGCTTTACACCAGGATCCACATGAAGATAAACATACTGAGATCATTTTCTCTAAGGGAAGATTCTGATTTTAGGGGTAGTGCTGGTAGCATAGTGGTTACGAATTGGGCTGCGAACCTCAGGGTCAGCAGTTCAAAACTACCAGCTGTTCCTCGGGAGAAAGATGAGGTTTTCTGCGCCTATTAAAGATTTACGGCCTCAAAAACCCTATACAGGGTCGCTATGAATCAGAACTGACTCCACGGCACCTAACAACAATAACTACAAAAGTCAAGAGGAGCTCTGGTAGCGTACTGGTTACGAATCGGGCTGCTAACCTCACAGTCAGCAGTTTGAAACTACCAGCCGTTTTGCAGGAGAAAGATGAGGCTTTCTGCTCCCGTAAAGATTTACAGCCTCAGAAGCCCTATACAGGGTGGCTATGAGTCAGCACCGACACGATGCACTTAACAGCACAGGCTAGTAGGCAATGAGATATAGGAGTGGAGGCAAAAAAGATGAGGTAGCCAGGCTCCTTTTTCTGGTTTCTTGCCTCTGAAGAAAAATTGGTGGAAAAGAAATTTAAATTGTGAGAAATCACAATCCCATGCAGTTTGGTAGTCAGCTTGGATTGATCTCACAGTGAAGACTGTACTGTTAGCAAGCCAGTTTTTAAAAAATCTACTTGTTAGGTGCCATCAAGTCGGTACTAATTCATAGCAACCTT